TCTGGGGGGGGGCGCCCCGCCGTTGCCCCCCGCATCCCCAGCCCCACTGCCTCCTGCCCCCCAGAGAAACCAGGCATCTGCCCCTTGGCCGAGGAGGCGCCGACCACCGCAGCCCCATGCGGCACCGCCTGCGCTGGGGACTGGCAGTGCCCGGGGACTGAGAAGTGCTGCAGCAGCAGATGTGGCCATGTGTGCTCGGCCCCTGAACGAGGTGAGGAGACAGTCACCGGGATGGCAGTGCCGCACGCCACCGGGCACGCTGGCAAACCTCCTGCAGGGCAGGATGTGAGGAGGTGCTGCCGCAGGGCAGGTGCTCAGACCCCCTGGGGTGCAGCCGTCAGGGTGACCCGGGGCTCCGGGAAGGCAGGTGCCCACAGTCCAGGGGGTTGCTTGCCCCTGCCCCTGCTGCCCCTTCCCGCCCCTCTCAGACAAACCCGGCGAGTGCCCGAAGGTGAGGCCGCGGCAGACGCCGGAGCCGTGCGCGGAGGAGGACTCCTGCACCCATGACAGGGACTGTCCTCGGCAGGAGAAGTGCTGCTTCTCTGGCTGCGCCATGCGCTGCGCCCGCCCTGCCAGAGGTGAGTGCTGGCAGCCCGGCCACCGGCATGGGGCAGCAGCATGCAAGTGGGGCTGGGACGTGCAGGGACCCCGCGCCCTTGCCCGGCTCCCCTCCTCCTGCAGAGCACCCTGGGGAGTGCCCTCGGGCAGAGCCGTGCTGGGACCCCCGGCGCAGGCATGGGAGCCGGTGCCTGGATGACAGCATCTGCCGTCGAGAGGAGAAGTGCTGCAACACCGGCTGCGGCTGGGAGTGCATGGCCGTGCCCAGAGGTAGCAGGAGCAGCCTGCCCAGGGGAAAGCCGGCCACCAGCCCCCCACAGCAGCTGGGCAACAGCGGGTCACTGTGCCCCTGCAGAGAGCCAGGACAGGGCCAGTGGCCAGTGCATGGAGGAGTGTGAGGCCGACTCTCAGTGTCCCCAGGGGCAGAGGTGCACCAGCATCGGCTGCAGCCACATCTGCATGGACATTCCTGGAGGTGAGAGCCAGCCAGGCCCCCCAGGAGCCGTGTGGGGCTGCCCCGGGGTGCCCCACGGTGGGATGCCCCCAGCCGGGTGCCCCCAGCCGGGTGTTTGCCTTGCAGGCAGAGTGGGAGCGTGCCCCATCCCCAGGGAGGGGGGGACGTGCCTGGACCTGTGCAGCTTCGACGAGGAGTGTCCCTGGGGCACAAGTGCTTGCAGCAACGGCTGCGGCCACGTCTGCATGCCCGCCTCTCTG